AAGCAACTCTTTAATTTCATAATAATCTATTGCTTTACAGAATATTTTGTGGTTTCCTGCTCTATTCAGTTAAGTAGATTTTCCTATAAATAAATAATATCATCTCTGTGGACACTGCAATCTATATTTCTCTTTGTCAACTGTAGTTTGGGAAAGTCGTGAAATCAGTGAAAGATTCACATTTCAAAGGGAAATTTGATAAAATATGGATGTAATTTTTATTTATGAAATGGGATACGTGCAATACAAAAACAAATAACTAGAAAACCTAAATCTGTGAGAAAAATGAATTAAAAGAAAATATCCAAAGATCTTTCGTAATTAATTAAATTAACTGCGTTGTAATTTCAAAGTTTCCAGTATCTCTGATGCTGATATTGATGTCGCTTCACATTTGCTGCCATAAGTCAAAAATCTGACTATGAACTGACCATTAATCATGTGAATCTGAATCATCTAATTTCAATAGCTGACATACGCGTCCATAGATACTTTTTCATATTTTTTATTGCTAAGGATATACATGACAAACTTTTACATTATTAATTAATGAATTATTGAATGAAACTCTATAATACAATGTAGAAATCGTAGAATTTTCCTTAACATTGCAAGAGAATATATATCTTTGATAGAAATTGTTGCTTAGCAATATCATGTTCTCTTGACAAGGACCTCTAAGTTCAAGGTCATTGTCAAATTCTTTGTAGAATACATCAACATTCAATAAATGTTTGGATTGTTTGTGAAAATGTAAAGTAATTTCTGGATTGATTTTTTCACCACTAAATGTCAATTTACTGAATCTGTAATTTTCAATAATAGTTGGTGTAGATGACAATATTTTACAAGTAGAATATAAATTGTCTTGCAGGTAAGGGTCCGACTCTTTGGAACATTTTAAACTTTTCTCATGCAATAAGATCATTTTCCCTTCTGTTCAATTTTTAATAGAGTCAGTCAAGCAATAACGTAAAAACACAATGTTTTATTTACCTAGATCATTGATTTTCAATGTGTGATTGTGGTGTGAAATAACGTTCCTCAGCTCAATTTTCTTTGATAAACCATTGATTTGGGACGGTTGATGAGTAGTTATAAGTGTTTCTTTGTTATACATCAATCCTCTACCCAATCTGATAGCATCATTTGTAGCAGTTATCCAGAAATCATTCCACTCGTCACACGTGATATATTCTCGAATTGCGTCCTTCTCATAAACGTCACCTTCTTGGGAAAAAGTCAGAATATAGCTCTGATTTAAATTTGATAAGAAAACTTCAAAAGTCGTGCGATCATTATGAGAAAAGACTAAAAGAATATCTCCACAATTATTGTCTTCAGAGCTTCGATGTCCAAATAGACTAAAGGCGATTGCCTTGAAATTGTTTTGAATATAAGGTGGAATGGTGTATTGATGGAGTTGAGTACCTTGAAGAACATAATCCTTAAATGGTGGACCTAAAAGTTGCATTTTCTATATAAATAGTATAAATTATGGAATGGGAAAACTGATAAAACAAACCTTTGACAAACACTTGAAGAATACTAAGCCCAACATTTTGAATTGTATATATTTCAACAACTTCAACGTATAAATCAGTTTCAATAAACATGTTTGTATACTTGAAACATTTTTGAAATTTATTATTTTTCAAAGAAGCGAATTCCTCAACACCAGAACTCCATTTTAACTTTAGCTTTTTAATATTTTTGTGAGTAGTTTGCCTATTGGCAAAACAATAAATAACTGGTACGTCAAAGATAGTAAAAGTAACTTTAAAGTATTGCCCTGCACAGTTATTGTTATTGATATGACATTGACTAGACCATTCATTAGAGTTAGAAAAAGCGCCACTGACAAAGTCTAATGCATATATACATTTGTATACACTAAAGACAGATTTTACAGAACAAGTTGCTCCATTATTAGCTGCCGCAATATCTGTATAAAATTCGCTATCATCTATACCTTCTGCAACATCTAATAACCAAAATATAATGTCATGACCTAATTTAAAAAGATATCAGTTTGTTTTACCTTCATAAGCAAAAATCATAATTGAACTAAAACCAGCATTTACATTTTGTGTCGATTTCCCTGGTATGAAACTCATTTTTTCAACATTTAAACCATAATTATTTTGTGGTAGAAAGCATTCAATATTTTTTTTAAATTCTTCAAGTTTCAATATTGAATGCTTATTTGTATTGAAAGTAACTTTAATACTTGCAGTTTTTTGTTCAGAGGACATAAAAGCTTGAGATAAACAATAATCAGAAATATTATAAAATCTCTGAAATGTTATTGTAACTTTTGCAGTATCGCAATCATTTCTGCAATAGTTTAACCATGAAAACATGTTTATCCAATGAGGATACATAAGATGATCAGGTTCAAAGGTAAATCCTACAATTGTTGGTCTGAAATGATCAGCAGAGCAAGTAGAATTCCATGAAAAATCGGCTATATTGATTAATTTTGGAAATTCTATAAAAAAAAAATAATATTAAAAAGGACCAAGAAAATGATCTATTAATAGACACTTGCTTTCATTGCTGTAAACATTGCATAAGATGAGTAGCAAACATATTTGAATACTAAAATTGATCATTCTCTTAATAAGTATCGTCTTTTCTAATAACATTGAGCACTGTTAGTGTTTTTTATTCAATACATTTACATAAATTATTCATTGGAATCGATTCGTAATGAATAAATGCTACTATTTAATGACAAACCTTTTTCTCTCTCTCTCTCTGTTTCTACTTGATCACAAGAGAACAAATTGTAGTATTCTGTTTAAATATTAAAGCCTTTGAATTATTTATATTGCGAATATTTCTATCTTTTTGTTTGCAGTTAGTTAAAATTCTGCTTGTCAAAAATTCATTAGCAGTTGCATTCAAATCTTGCTAAATTAAATGTTACTCTTTGTACTGATCTGCATAGTAATCTTATGACATATGGACAAGGAGAGGAAGAATTGCAACTGAAATCTCCGTAGGCCTATAATGTAATTAATAATCTGAATTATAGTAGACAAACTCTACTTTTAAGGGGGGATCAATTAATAAAACTCGCAGTACGATATGTACTTTTTGTATACACAAGTTGTTATGCATTTACAGATATTACAACAGTAATCATTGTTATTTGACATTATTGAAGAGAAACACTACATTAAAAAAAAATGGATTCAATTTCAGCTGGGTACAGCTTCACCCATTCCCAACTTAATCTCGATGTGACTGAAGAGTAATGGATTTCTGAATATTTGTGGATATGGTTTCACCCACTGAAGGTGAAATTGTACCTGGGTAAAATTGTAAATGTTGAACAAAAGAAAACATTTAAAATATTTAAAGTTAGGATAAAACACCAAAAAAAAAAAACATATTTTCCACCAATGGGGCGACAGCTGCCAATTTTTGGGCTTCTGTCTTATCAAATGAACGGTATGGACGACTACAGTTGGCATGAGAATGAAATTTCTACAATCACGATACAACAAAGCACAATTTTCCAACAAGGAAGCAAATTTCAGGAGGATTTCAACATAGATACACAATGTGTTTAGGATCTGCTTGCCAATATTTACACAATTTTGACACTTCAACATCTATAATTGTTAAAAAAGGAAAACATTGAATAAGAATTGTTTCCCAGAAGGGAGAAATCATCTAACTGCTATCAAATGTTTTACTCCCAAAAAATACTTTATAAAAGTGCCTTATGTTCTTTTCCTGTCCTTAAGGGACTCCTAGATGTATGGCAGGAAACACCATTCTGCATGAATACATGGACCCTCGTAATGCTGTAAAAAATCGTTTCAAGAATTTCTTGATACTTCTCTGAATTTGAGCCTCTCTTGTATAGATGTATACTTCTGCAGCCATCACTTTTTATGAAACCACATGTATTTAGGGAACCATTTGCCTCTTTGAACATTTTCATAGCATATTTACATGATTAAGTTTTAGTTTTGCCTTACATACTGTTAACATTTCATAAAAGATATTTTTCTTCATTGTTTTCAATTGAAAGCAATAAAGAACAAACGCTTTTTTCGCCGATGCTTTGACCTTGATTATGCCCAATTAGAGCATTGACATTTAGATGCCCAATTTTTTCTATTTTGCCATATTGGCAATTTTTTTAAGTTTACCATATATAAATATAATTTATATTATAAACTGGTAGAGATAATATCAAAAATGACAAAAACCTGTAAATTTATTTCTTTTTCCGCTAAGCGAATACATTCTATTTTCTGATCAAGTAATTTCACAATATTACTCAATCTTTTATGTCGATATTGGCAATTCTAACACTCTTCTGTAGCACTGATATGATAATGTTTCTTGGCTACGTCATAAGATGTTCTAATTACTTCAAAATGTCAAATTCAAGTTTTTTTCTGCTTATATTGCAAGTTATACTTAAGAATCTTAATCTTAATCTTAATTTTAATTGTTCAAGTTGAAATACATAGGCCAAAACTTTTGAGGGTGAGCACAAGTTTTCCCAACACAATTTTAGACAGGGTTTGGGTATGATTCCATTCAACTCCATTATTACTTTCTTCCCTAATAAAGCCTGACAATTGCTTCCCTGTTTTGATCTGTTACAGATATATTTTGGCATACCAGATCTTGGTAAATTGTTCAAAATTTTTCCTTTTTGAATTATTTCCAACTCCAAAAAAATACAGATAAAACAAAAAGTGATGAAATAGGCAAAATGTGTCTATGTTTGATTTTATCTTATCACCTTTGTGAAGATAAATATACAGATATTAGGATAAGAAGAGAACTGTAATAAGATAATATTTTATCAATGGTATGGAGAATATAACTCATCGAATGGTATAAAAATCAAATTTCTCTTTCTTTCCTACATGACAATAACAAAAATGAAACTTTTGACTTTTTGTTTATTGTGTAAGTAACTCACTTTCTTTTTTTAATAAGGTTTTTGAATTGCTTTTTTTTATTTTTGCAGTGTTTTCATTCATTGAATGCAGCTACTCTCATTTTGCTTGTCCTCTTAACTCTAAACTGAAACCTATCGATGGCTCGTTCCCTGATCCAGAATATTGTGGAAATTATTATCATTGTATTAATGGTACAGCTCATCCCCGGCAATGTCCTCATGGACTCTTTTTTTCTGTATTAATGAATAATTCCAAGTTTTCTTTGTGTGTTGAACCAAATGAAGCTCATTGCCCTGGAGGTAATTCTATCCCTACCACTAAACCAGGACATTCCCAAGAGTGTCCAACAGATGCCAATGGTATAAAAAAGCTTAAAAAATCTTGTTATGTGAAGTATTCCGATTGTGAAGATGGTCAAAATGGAACTTTTAGAAATGAAACAGATTGTCGAAAGTATTATCATTGTTATAATGGTGTTGCTTGGCCTGAAGAGTGTCCACCAGGTTATTTCTTCAGTTTATCATTAAATAATCATGATTACACCACACTGGTATGTGCTAAATCTAAAGAAGCTAAGTGCCCTATATCAGGAGGATGGTCAGAATGGTCAGCTTGGAGTGGATGTGATCAATTCTGTAAGGATGGTTTACAAAATCGTACAAGAACGTGTACAAATCCTACACCTTTAAATGGAGGGGCTCCATGTCCAGGAAATTCGGTTGATATGAAATTTTTTTCCAGTAATGCTTGCAGTTTAAGCAAAAATCCTGCATTTATGGTATCTATGACAAGGTCAACAAGGTTAAATACAGAAAGAGTTCACTGGCATAGAGTAAATCACAATCATGAGAATTTATTTAATGAACTTACAAACTCAATAAATATAACAAAAAGTGGCTTTTATTTTCATTCAATAACTGGTACTAGAGCAGTAGAGTCAAACAATCGGATGTCATTGAAAATTGAAGGTATAAATCCCCCATTAAACCTCTATCAACAAACCAGTGATACTGCTAGCAGATCTGGATTAAATTCACTATCTGCTCCCTCCGAACTATTTGTATCAATAGCTCATAACATGGATGTTGTCGGCAGTGAAAATGGTTCAGAAACATCTTGGTCTGGCTTTATGTACGAAACAAATAGCGCTTTTTTTATTGGGAAAGATTCATACCAAAATACAGCAGGAAATCTGATTCGTCTTTCCAGATCTATTGCTTTGAAAGGTGCATTTTACACCCCATCTAAAACTCAACTAACAATGCTGGTAACTGGATGGTATTTTATCAATTTTGGAACTGGTTTGGCAGGTGATAGTCACTGTATGGTTAGCTTAACAATAAATGGTGATTCAACATCTTTTGAGAGATCAATAGCTAAAGGTCATCTCAGTAGTTCTACTTCTCAAGTGTCAAGAGGAATAATTGTTCATTTAAATCGGGATGACAAAATTTCATTAAAATTAGTTGCTGGACAATTAAAAAGAAATTCCAGACTAGTTGATGTCTATATTTCAGGATTTAAATTGAATGCATCTGTAAACAGTCCAGCATTTTATGCCTACAGAACTTATCATTTAACTACAACTGTAAGGCAAAAGATATATTATGATAAAGTTCTTCTTGATACAAATTCTGGTTGGAGTGTTTCAAGCAGAACATATACCGTTGCAGTTGATGGCTTATATCATATTGATGTGTCAGTTGGAACATGGCCATTCTCTGTGTCAATAATATATGTTATGGTAAATGATGAACAAAAATTAAGTATGAGGAGAATGAGAGAGAAATCAAGTTTTGAAAGTATGAGCCGAACAGGATTGTTAAAATTAAAACAAGGTGATACTGTTTCAGTTGAAACAAGCCAAAATCTTTATAATGCTGATTGGAAATTGACATCAATAGCTCTATTTTACGTTTCACCTGTGTAAAACTGGTATATTTTTGCAAAATATTCTGTCTGTCTCTTATTGTATCTTTTGATTAAGAAATAAAATGATTAGTCATACAGCATTTGAAAATAAAAAACAAAAGCTAGTCAATTCTTCTCTGTTATTTGGAACCAGCTCAAAAAGAAAGAGAGATCTGAATTGTTTACTCTTTTATAGATACATTGTTAATGTTAATTTTTAATGACATTATTGAGTGGTGCAGATCCAATTATGACATACAAAAATAGTATTGTTTGAAACAAAAACTTTCTGAAACTTTTATCAAGAACTTTTAAGTGTACCTGTGTTAAACTGTACCCACTAGAGAGATAAATCATACCCCCTTTTTTATCCTTATACAAACCAGTTTAATTTAATATTTTGATTGAAATAATAGATATATATGGCTTTTAAATATGAATTTGAACAAGTTCTTCTTACAACAATACATGGGTATGTTTTTCTTTTCACCTAAACAATTTATAGGGAAATTCAGGTAGATCAAATATTCAATGAATATCTTATTTTAAAATTACTGATATTTTTAACTGATTTGCTAGTAATAGTTTCTCGGATATTCTAAATGATATATGGCGAAAGGAGAAGCATGGAGAGATCTTAGGAAAATCATGGTATTACCATTTCTGCCAGCTTTTAAACAATAATGGATTTGTAATTAGGTGGGTTCAAACTAAGGGTTAGGAACAATGAACCGTTTAAAAAAGTTTCCAGGGCTGGGTTAGGGTTAGGGTAAAACCACAAAAGTGTGGGCGTTTTCAACAACATCCGATTTATAGATATCAAAGAAAAAAGGTATGTTGAGAGAAAGAAAACAATATTTGATATTTGGGATGAACACGAACTGGGAAAAATGTTTGCTTTTCTAACAGTATACATAAGACAGGGCGTATTTGGGACCTGGACAAAAAGTCCCCTTGACAAATTTCCCCTGGATAGATTGTCTTTTATGTTCTCAAGATACTGATTTAAAAAAAGTAAGTGATTTAAATTATCTTTATTAGGCTATTGTGTCATGTTCACTTTCTAATAATTTGTATGCTAATTATGGATTTTTTTATTAAGTGATGGCTCCTTACTGTCAAATATGTGAATATAGAATATTTGGAAGAAAATTCACCATGAAGTGCTCACTCTGTTTTCATCAATTCAATTATCATAAAACATACATTTCAAGTAATACTTACATGTATTATTTATGTCATTCATATTTATTTCTATATATTTGCAGTGTCTGGAGTATATTTATGTTCCACAGTCACTGACAACTCCAAAAAGTATTGCCTTGTCTCATTAAATAGAATTGTCTGTTCCACACCTATTATTGTTAAGGACAGCTCTTTTACTAGAGAAAAAAGAGAAATGGTCATGTTATATAGGATGAAATTGACCAAGGGTTATCTGATCGTATAAATAATGGAAACAATTCAAATTATATCTCTCAAGATTCCATGAAAGATACAGTTATACTGTAAAAGAAAAAACTGCAAATACAGTTAGATGGACATGTAGTGTGTCAGAAACAAATCCATGAAGTGCCCTGCAAGAGTTTCCCAAAGAGATAATTCTCTTATCCTTGGCAAAAAGGATCATATTCATGAGAGAAATAGTAATTTGGAAATGGAAATAAAACTTAAACATAAATTAAAAGAAAATGGTCAGAATGATAAAATGATATCAAGAAAATGTTTGGCTAAAAATGTTCAGCAAAAATCAAACTTTGCTACCTAACCCTTATATGAAACCTCTCTAATTAGAAATCATTAAGATACTTGATTTAAAGTTTGAAAGTGATATTACATATTGCAATAGCTTAACATTTGTATAATTTTTATCATTTTTAAACATAGTTTGTTCTACATGTGATTACTGCATTTCATCTGGATATAAAACTCATCTCCATCCCATTAAAATCATGTGACAGCAGTTTAAACATATAACAAAATTGACATTGACACATTTTCAGACATTTTTTTGTTATTATAGATAAACATGCAAAGAAGATCTTTCCATGCGATTTAAATTGAATACTTGTATGTATTCAAAAGAAGTATTGCATTTGAAAAAGGCTCTGTTTTCCAGATATTCATTTTCTTCCGATATTTTCAGACTTTCACACATTTTCCACTGTCTACTCAAAAATCTATTTCCTCCAGCAACAATTGAATTACTGTTTGAATTTTCATGATGGTACTCAACCAAAAAATGCAACCTATGTGGATTTGTAACATTTTTAAGGTTGATTTCAATAGAAGATCTCATTTCACATTTCTTTGGAGAAGAATATGGAATATCTTTGAAATTGAGAAACAATTAGAATTTGCCATGAATAGAAAATATATCATCTAAAAAACTTACATTCTTTAGATTTAACCGATATTGCTAGAAAGTCAATTTCATGAATAAATTTATCGCCTTTGATGATAATTTTACAATAATTTGAAAATATCGTCTTTTTCAAATCAGTGCAAGTTGTATGCCAATAATCATAACCTCCATTCAACTCAGCTGTTATCTTCTCATTTGTTTGATAATCAACAATTTCAATGTTATCATTTGGTTTCCTTGTATTTCCATTGTCAACTTGACATAAAATTTAAAGTAAACAAAGTGCCAGAAAAAAAATAACATATGACCTAAACAAAAATTTATGATACTCACATGACAGACAAACTGTATTTAAATAAATGAGGTCACTAGAAATTTCTATTAAATTATCCGTTTCAACTTGCAAATTAGGAGATGCATGAAAAAATTTATTATCCAGTAATGAAGATTGTTCATTTGGTGTGACTAATGTTCCTTGATTTTTAATAGTTCTAATTGCTGGTTTCTGACTGATTGTATTTTCTAGAAAAAATATAGAATTAGATATTGATTTTAAAAGAATATAGGTTTTTTTGCATACTATGCTCTTGAAAAGTATCCACAAGTTGACCATAGATGTGTAATTCAAAAATCTCTATTAATAATTTAGTTTCACCATTGTACTGATGAATTAAAAAAAATTGCCCAGAATATATTTCATCACATTTGATAATTAAAGAAGCTAATGGCGTCAGTCTATCATGTGTTTTATCTTTACAACAGAAAAGAGCTTTGCTATCAAATGTTGTATCTGGTTTCGTTTTTACTGATGCATATGTATGACGAAGTCTATTTACTATTGAATAAAAAACAATTGTCAATTTTGGTGTGGTCAGAAATTTCAAAAAGCTTTCTTATGTGAACCTGTATTTGGTCTTCGTGTTATTACAAATCCAAAGAATTTGTATAATTTTGTATAAGTTACAAGAAGGTAGGGTTGATCAGTTACTGATTTAGAATGATATGTTGTACAGTAATTCTTGTCAATTGCATTTTCTGCAGCGTGGTTAATGTACAAAGGAGAACTTGTGAGTTGTGCATCTTTGAAGTTGATTTCTTTATAATCTGGAAAAATCTTACTAACTTTAAAAGAAATTCATGCATTCTCTTGTTTTAAAAACCTGATTGACTATGAAATACTCCAGCAACATCAATGTCACATAATTCCAAACGTGATCCTTTAATTGTTTTTGTTATTATTAGAAAAGAACCAATTGCACTTCCTTCTCTGCAGTCAAAGCATTGGTAATTTGAAAATGAGGTTGATGTAGGATTTTTTACTGGACCTTCTACATAATTACAAAAGGAAGTTTCCCCTTGTAAATAATTTCCAACAGTGATATTAAACTTTTCCAGTAATGAACCTAGAAAAAATTTACATTAAATATATTTTTGAATTAAAAAAATTTACAAAAACTAACCAACTTTTCCACTTAGAAGACAAACTTTTTGAATTATGTAATTATTTCCCAAATCAACAGCAAACCAAGAGTATCTTTCTGCATCAAAAGATGTTTTTGTGCATTTGTAATTTGGCTTTGTGAAAGGAATATCATTTCATTTAGGATGGTGATTATGATATAACTTTTAATAATATTATTACCTCAGTTGCTGTATTATCAATAGAAATATCGGAATCAGTTACGAATGATGGATAAGGACAAAGTGGAAAAGCAGATGTACTTTGAAATGCAACTTTATTCCTGGCAATATTTATAGAATTTACAAAATGAGGAATTGAAAACAGTAAACATATCTGAATAAATAGTTCCATTACAGTGTTTCAATCATATATGTCAGTTAAATCTATCAATTTCGCAAAAATTATAATATTTAATAGCCATTATTATTTATCTCTTTCTAATAATAAATAATTTAGCATTCTTGAAATTTTAATTATTTGAAAAGGCAACTTTTTGTTTGAATTACTTTCACATATAATATTCCAGGTTTCTGTTGTATCTTATGAGTAGAAAGACAATAGGACAAATTTTTTATGGGGAAGATGTATGCTATTGATTGATATGAAAAATTCAGTATTATATTATAGTAATCTCTATTTATAATTCCTTTTCTATTTGTTAAAAATCCAATGATTCGTAAGGAGTTGGCTTCAGCAATAAAAAGAAATTGGCAACATCAGATAATACAAAATAGAACCTAAAACTTAAAAATTTTATACGTCTTGACCACCTTCAGCAGGATTTATAATGTTTCAGCCCTGAATTCAGGTTAAATGATATATTAACTGTTTTTGAAAATTTGTAAACAAATATTTGATTCAATATAAAAGAAGAATTTTGAATAAACAGAACTAGGTGAAATTTGTATAAAAATAATATTAGAGAATCTAGTACAATATCAAAACTAATTGAATTTCTAGATTTTATGTACTCAAAGCCTTCACATATTTAAAAGATTAATTTATGTGTTTGAGCAATAATGTTAATACTAAAATAATTTACCAGTTTTCTGTTGGAATATGTACATTTCTCTGATTTTTAAACTCTCTGTTTTAAACCATTAAGTAATATTCATGAATTTGATAATTTAAACATATATAATGATAAAATTACCGTGTGATTTATGTTATATTTAAATACTGATGTTTTGTTGATTGATTTATTCTGAAATTACATTTATTAAGACTATTTGTGGATAAACTTTAAGGTTTGCCACTTCCTTTCAATTAATTATATTTGGCAAGTTTGAACCACTGGAATTCTTGACCAAAACTTTTCAGCAATTCTTTTGCCGCAAGAATTTCGATCATTTTTACAATTATCTTTGATTTCTGTTCTTATAAGAAACCTGGTTTCAAGATCCATTTGTTCAAATGTTTTCAATACATTGCTTTTGAAAGAAAAATAGAGTTGAAGTAGGTGCTATTGCTTTATTCATTCTTATGCTCAAAAAAGAAGAGAGCTTATAAATTACTTTTCTTGGTAAGTTATATGTCTAAATACTAAAATCAACGATAATCTGTGCATTTAGGCTGTAAATGAGCAAATTGGCAACATCTCTTTTCAAAAAGTTGTTTTGGACTATGAGATGGTAATTTGGAAAAGTATGAGAGATACTTGGTCAGATATGTACACATTTGTTTTTCTTTTCATTGGTCAAAAGCAATAGTCTAAAAAATTTAGGTTAACAATAATATGAAATAGTATACAAGTATAATCTAACTTTATTGTTCTATTTGAAATATATTGGCTATTGTTCAGAATTTAAAAAGAAAGAAGGAGAATGGAAATCAATGAAAATGATTTTGGCTTTACCCTCCCTCCCTCATAGTCTGAAAATCAGTTTCACATAATAAAAAGTGAACTGGCGGAAAGATATAAACTTGGAGATTTATAAGAATATGTGGAGGATAAATGGATAAAGGGTAACTTTTGGCTTCCAGAGACTTAATCTGTATATAACCAAACCATCAAAACTAACAATGACTTGAAGGGTTCTCATCATAGATTAAATAAAAATATAGGCTCAAACCCATCATTTTATTTAGTTGTTAATGAACTCAAAACAGAAGCTGACTTAATTTCTATTTATGAGGAATTGTTAAGTGAGAAAAAAATTGTAAGATTTCAAAAGATGACCTATTCAAGAATTCAAAACAAATCTTAGCAATTGGGGAATGTTCAAAGCTGCTTCTTTCTCTTCACAACTGGTAAATGACATGATCTCAAAGGATTTGAAACAATTCACTATAACAAACAATTGATGTATACAATGATGCTCCATTCATAATATTCATTACGAAATCAGCAATTGATACATTTACCAACAAAATTACTGATACCTTTAGAATATTTTTAGCATAAGGTAGGAAAATTATGGCCAAAAATGTTGATAAAAGTGATAAAATTGCAGGAATACCAACAATTATAGACCTCACAGGATTTGATATCAGATGATTTTCAACAGTCAAAGTATCTTCTGTTCTATTCATATTGATTTAATTGAGAAATTTTTAATAATTCTCTTTTTATACAGATAAGACTTTTATAATAATAAGATTACAAAAAACTATTTTGTTCTTAAGAAGTCAACAATTAAGAATTGATCCACGAAATGAAACTAGAAAAGCTATTTCAAAGAGAAATTTAAGAGTAGTTAAAGTTTTAATTTTAACAATTGCAATATTTTATACATGTTGGGGCCCATTTAGTGTTGTTGCTCTTACTGGAGTATTTAATAAGGATTTCAATGTTCAAACAAAATATTACAGATTTTATTTAACCTGGCTGGCTACTTTAAATAGTTTTTTTAATAGTGTTGTATATGTTTTTATTTTTCCTTCTTTAAGGAATAAAGTACTCATAATCCTAAATGCTTTAACATGTAAATTGTGTAATGTTCATATTAGCAACAGCATGTCAATAACCAACACACATATATCAACTTGAACTTTTTTTGTATAATTGTTCATGGGCAGTGTACTTTCCTGCTGAGGTTATAGGTAAGTACTGGTCCAAATAGAACCGAACCAGGAGTAAGCCACTTGGAAGAGGGATGTAGAATTGATGAAGGATGAATATAAAACCAAAACGTAAGAATAATATAACTGTATTCTAAAGTAATACTAGACCTGTTCACTAAGGGAGTTGATTCAGGACTGAATGCCTCTTACTACCTACGCCCTGCTTTTATACAATTCCTTATCAGTTGTTTATGCCTTAGCTGTCAACAACAAGGGTCTAACACCAGATAAGGATTATTCACAACAAACAGGGTCAAGGGTTATCATATTATGCAATAGTGATGTAAACAACAACAACTTTGTGTAGGTTACCCGTCAAGGGTCAATTGTTACATGATATTTATGTAAATAAACACTTGTTGTTGTTGTCAACATGTTTGTTATGTAACATCTTATCCTTTGCCTATAAAAGGGTTGATTCTGGCAGTTCGGTACCATCTATTTGGACCAGTACTTACCTACAACCTCAGCAGTAAAGTACAGTAACATATGAAATGTCTTTGAATCATTGAGTTTCATTGAATGTTATCATAGAAAATTAAAAATCATTTGGCTGTATAGAAACAATTATATTCTTTCAATTTCTTTTCTATTTCCAACTGATTTTTTAACATTAAAAAAAATTAACAAGTCCTATGATCAATACGAAGATAAATACAAAAGTATATAAATAAACCAGATAAAATTTAATTTGCAAGATTTGAATGCAAACTTCTTCATAAATTTTTGACAAAACAGAAAAAAGAAACTGAATACAAACGAATAGGTTAAAATATTTATTATAGAAATAATTCAGCAGGCTCTATCATTCAATGTTAAAAGAGTATACTGCAATTCATTCTTTGAAGAAGACATAATAAGAGAGACAGAAATACTGGTTCTCATCAAATAGTAAAATCTATTCATTCTGAATCAATTCAATTGAATAATTCATTTATATTTAATGAATAAAAATACTAGTTGTTTGTCAGGGTTAAAAGCAAAAAGAATATTTATTGAGTAGAATGATCAACTCTAGCATTCGAATATCTTTATTACTCATCTTCTGCAATGTATACAGCAATGCAAGCAAGTGTCTATTGATGTATCATCTTTCTCATCTATTAACATCATTTTTTTATGCAGAATTTCCAAAATTAATCAATATAGCCGATTTTTCATGGAATTCTACTTGCTCTGCTGATCATTTCAGACCAACAATTGCAGGATTTTCCTTTAAACCTGATCATCTTATGTATCCTCATTGGATAAACATGTTTTCATGGTTAAACTATTGTACAAGTGATTGCAATACTGCAAAAGTTACAATAACATTTCAGAAATTATATAATATTTCTGATTATTGTTTATCTCAAGCTTTTATGACAACTAAATACAGAACTGAAAATGTAAAAGTTATTTTCAATACGAACAAGTATTCAATAGTGAAACTTGAAGAATTTAAAAAAAATATTGAATGCTTTCTACCTCAAAATAATTATGGTATTAACGTTGAAAAAATGAGTTTCATAACAGGAAAATCAACATATGGTGATAGTGCTGGTTTTAGTTCAATTATGATCTTTACTTTTCTAGGTAAACAAAACAAATAATAAAGAAATCTCTCTCTTTTTAAATTAGGTCATACAATTTTTATTTTTATATTTTTAGATGTTGCAGAAGATATAAACCATAGCGAATTTTATACAGACATAGCATCTTCTAATAATGGAGCTACTTGTTCTGTAAAATCTGTATTTAACGCTTACCAATGTAAATATGCATTAGATTTGGTCAGTGGACTTTCTATTAGCAGTCAAGAATGGTCTAGTCAATGTCATATCAATAATAATAACTGTGCAGGGCAATACTTTAAAGTTACTTTTACTATCTTTGACGTACCAGTTATTTATTGTTTTGCCAATAGGCAAACTACTCACAAAAATATTAAAAAGCTAAAGTTAAAATGGAGTTCTGGTGTTGAGGAATTCGCTTCTTTGAAAAATAATAAATTTCAAAAATGTTTCAAGTATACAAACATGTTTATTGAAACTGATTTATACGTTGAAGTTGTTGAAATATATACAATTCAAAATGTTGGGCTTAGTATTCTTCAAGTGTTTGTCAAAGGTTTGTTTTATCAGTTTTCCCATTCTATAATTTATACTATTTATATAGAAAATGCAACTTTTAGGTCCACCATTTAAGGATTATGTTCTTCAAGGTACTCAACTCCATCAATACACCATTCCACCTTATATTCAAAACAATTTCAAGGCAATCGCCTTTAGTCTATTTGGACATCGAAGCTCTGAAGACAATAATTGTGGAGATATTCTTTTAGTCTTTTCTCATAATGATCGCATGACTTTTGAAGTTTTCTTATCAAATTTAAATCAGAGCTATATTCTGACTTTTTCCCAAGAAGGTGACGTTTATGAGAAGGACGCAATTCGAGAATATATCACGTGTGACGAGTGGAATGATTTCTGGATAACTGCTACAAATGATGCTATCAGATTGGGTAGAGGATTGATGTATAACAAAGAAACACTTATAACTACTCATCAACCGTCCCAAATCAATGGTTTATCAAAGAAAATTGAGCTGAGGAACGTTATTTCACACCACAATCACACATTGAAAATCAATGATCTAGGTAAATAAAACATTGTGTTTTTACGTTATTGCTTGACTGACTCTATTAAAAATTGAACAGAAGGGAAAATGATCTTATTGCATGAGAAAAGTTTAAAATGTTCCAAAGAGTCGGACCCTTACCTGCAAGACAATTTATATTCTACTTGTAAAATATTGTCATCTACACCAACTATTATTGAAAATTACAGATTCAGTAAATTGACATTTAGTGGTGAAAAAATCAATCCAGAAATTACTTTACATTTTCACAAACAATCCAAACATTTATTGAATGTTGATGTATTCTACAAAGAATTTGACAATGACCTTGAACTTAGAGGTCCTTGTCAAGAGAACATGATATTGCTAAGCAACAATTTCTATCAAAGATATATATTCTCTTGCAATGTTAAGGAAAATTCTACGATTTCTACATTGTATTATAGAGTTTCATTCAATAATTCATTAATTAATAATGTAAAAGTTTGTCATGTATATCCTTAGCAATAAAAAATATGAAAAAGTATCTATGGACGCGTATGTCAGCTATTGAAATTAGATGATTCAGATTCACATGATTAATGGTCAGTTCATAGTCAGATTTTTGACTTATGGCAGCAAATGTGAAGCGACATCAATATCAGCATCAGAGATACTGGAAACTTTGAAATTACAACGCAGTTAATTTAATTAATTACGAAAGATCTTTGGATATTTTCTTTTAATTCATTTTTCTCACAGATTTAGGTTTTCTAGTTATTTGTTTTTGTATTGCACGTATCCCATTTCATAAATAAAAATTACATCCATATTTTATCAAATTTCCCTTTGAAATGTGAATCTTTCACTGATTTCACGACTTTCCCAAACTACAGTTGACAAAGAGAAATATAGATTGCAGTATCCACAGAGATGATATTATTTATTTATACGAAAATCTACTTAACTGAATAGAGCAGGAAACCACAAAATATTCTGTTAAAGCAATAGAGTTATTATGAAATTAAAGAGTTGCTGTTGTTGTTGTTTTGTCTATCACTTATCTATTCAAAAAGAGCATTATAACGAAGATGATGTACAAATAAATGATAAAGAATTCCATGAGACTCTAGAAAATTGATGTAAATATTTGATTTAGAGAATTTATAATAATAGCCTTAAAAACTGGAGGGGAGGTTTCGGTATTGACCATGCTATGGGTATGGAATTGACTAATAATGATGACATCACTGGATGAGTATGATTTGATGATTAGAATGAGTAAAAGAGGCCCACTGAATTCAATTTTTTATGTCTATTTCTATTTTCATTTTTGGGTAAAAATTAGGTTAGGGCATATAAAGAAAATAGAAATAATTGACAATTAAAAGGTACGGGGGAAACATTAAACAGAAAACCTATATTGAGTGAGTCTCAACTGAAAGTTGAAGAAAGTCAAGTGGAATAGGTGAGGTCTTGGACTGGGTTAGGGTTAGGATTTATCTTTTACTGAGTTTAGAGTAACTCCATATACAAAACACTTTCGTTACATCCAACATTCTAAAAATAATTTTCAACCTGTTCAGATAGCATATGCTAATTTTCAAGTTATATCATTTACAAGATTTTCACTCAAAAAATGCTTTATTCACAATTTTTTCTTTTTACTCTTTCATACTTTTTTTATCCTTAAGAAGGCAAATATCACATAAAGATATCTGGGGATTTCATTAGCAGATACATCATCTGAGTAGTTGATAGAAAAGTGATCTAAAGTATTGAAAGACGATTTAAGAAGAGGTTGGCAAAACCAATTATACATTTATGACTATTTGAGTTAGAATTAGGGTTAAAAACAATAAACAGGAATAAATCTCCAAGGATCCCTATCAAGAAATTCAACTATCCTTTACTCATAATTTCATTCAAGTACTTCTACTTCACAAATTTCAGTTTCTAAAGTCATATTGTAAAAATACAGGATGTATTCTCCAATTAAGGATATTGAGCATTTGAATAGATTTCCTTGCCTTAAACAATTTCCATCCCCATTATCATTTTCTAAGGGTTTTAATGATTGAACAAAAATATTATCCAACACAGAGTTACTATTTGAAATATTCAAAAATCTGAAATGACCTTGTATTTTTAATTTAAACCCAAATTCATTTTGCTTAAAAGTGAGACATGTCTGTAAATTTCCATCTGTTAAAATCTCTTCTCTATTCTGACATTTATTATCAAAAATCAACTTTTTGCTAATCAACATTTTTCTTGTACACTTTAATTTACCAATTGAAAATTTATTTGTGCCATCATTTGTATCACCTGCTTCAATTCTTTTTAGAGGTAATCTCTGCGGTAGAACAGCAATCCTTCCAGTAAAGTCAAATACGGGATGACTTTGAGTTTCTATAGAGGGATAACAGGGTTTTGTAAGAATATTTGTTTGTTCGCATATTTGAGTTATCAGACAATTACATATTCCATCATTAGCTATAAAACTAGTATAACTTCCATCCCAAAATAAGAATCTATTGTGCCAATTAGCAGCTTTTCTGTTTACAAAACGCATAGTCTGTTGACAAACTCCAGCAGCTTTCAAAAGTTCAGTCAGATCAGAATCATCAAAATTTTCATATTGTATATTTACTTTAATTCCATATGCTGCTTGTGTTTTTGCTAGAGAAGTTAAAGTTTCCTTGTTATTATCTAAGATAGTTGTAACCTCAAAATTGCTGGTAAATTGACAGTAAACTTGTGATGTGGCTCCACCAATCCTTGGCTGTATACTATATGTGTCAGTTGTAAAGTTATTATCGTTAACAGCATCTAAACAAGATCTATAAACTGTACTTGAATAGATAACTGAAAATGATACAAGTAGAAAAATTAACGTGATCAGTTGCATGATAATTATCATATTTTGTACTCTGAAGACAAATAAGAGTTGAGAAATTTCTCTACAATCCTAAATAATTAATTTTTCGAAAAGGTTACTCATGTAGCTTTCATTACTTTCCTATTCATACTTGCTAATAAATGCTGCAGTAAAAAAGCTTTCAATTCATTCATTTGTTTTTAATAGGTTCAGGAATGAAATATAGAGAATTTTAAAATCTGCCAGTCTTTAAATATACATTATGTGTAAAGGAAAAGGCCTGCAATTGTCAAATGTAGCAAAATATATTAAAACAATAGCGCAATATAAACATAAAGTCATGGCCTAAAACATCTAGAGACTGTAAATTTTGATAGACTCAACATTCAAAATCTTTTTCTTTATCAATAAAGATTTATTTTTCATTTTTTGGTGATAAGATACTGGCTGAAACTTGGATCTAAATATAAATTTCTGTCAAATAGCATTTATATAAGTTTTTATATTGTTTATTTTTTTGATGAGTGTTCTTCCTATTTAGCCATAAGTCATATTATCCTGGACAAGGTTTGGAGACTAAAATTTTTATCATTGCTGAATTTGATGACCCTCTTTTTCTATGTACCTACTTATCCCAACTCCCCATTCCAGCATCGGCCTTGGTGATAAGTCTGGATTTTTAGTGACATTTTTAAATTTTCTCCCAAGGTTCTTCTGCTGTGAATTGTGCCCCTCGTAAATTAAATTTTTAGTCAGGTGCTACACATTTAGAACATCAAATTTAAATTTTGTCTTTACCAATTATTCTCTTTATTTCATCTATATAAACTTGCTTGAATATCAAGTAGATGTGAAACATTACCCTGCTAATCTCAAATCAGATATAAACATTTTTTTTCTATAATCACCAAGTAGAAATATTTTCAACAGTCAAATTTTGTTACAAAATACAGCAAAGTAATTTTTCCATTAGATCTGTAGGAAATTATTTTAGAGGATTTAATAAACAATCATTCGGGGATAATTAACAGCTTAATTTATAAAATACAACAATTACCATACCAACTCTTCTTGTTAACTTTCTACAAGTTAGTTCTTCGACTATCAAAAGAGAAAAACTAGAGCAGGAATTTCAATATCTTCTAAAATGGATTTGAGTAAGGTGTGTAAAACTTTTCTTTTTCTTGAAACCTTGAACTTAAAGGTCCTTGTCAAGAGAAAATGATATTGCTAAGCAAGAATTTCTATCAAAGATAAATATTCTCTTGCAATGTTATGGAAAGTTCTACTATTTCTGCATTTTATTTAGAGTTTCATTCAATAAATGTCATCAAAATGTTTTATAAATTCAAGCTAATCCCATAAGGTTCAAATAAATATTTAAATTTTTCAGATTGTTGTTTAGTTAGATTGCAATGTTTCATATCTATAAATTTTAAACTATTTTTTGATTGAGATAATCCATCACAAATTTTTAATACTCCATTTCCCATACAACAATTCTTAGTTAAATTGATATTTTCCATTTTGGAACATGTTTTAAGCAAAACTCCTATCTTTGTTGCTTGAGATTCGTTTATATTACAATTTACCAGATAAAGTAACTTTAGGGTGTTTGATGACTGAAGCAGTCCATAACAAATGTCAATTAGTCCATTTTCCATACAGTTACTGTAATTTAAATCAATAGAATTTATAGCTGAGCAATTTTGAAGCATTTTTCCAATCTTTGCTGCTTGAATTTTACTTAGATTACATTTCCCTAGATTAAGATATTTTAAAGTATTTGAGGATTGAACCAAACCATTGCAAATGTTGATTAAACCGTTGCCCATATTAACATTATTATGTAAATTGATTGATTCAATTTTAGACAATTTTTTAAGCATATTTCCAATATTTCCTGCTTGAGTTTCAGTTAGATTGCAGTCACTAAAATCAATTTCTTTTAAAGTATTTGAAGATTGAATGAGTGAGTCACAAATTTTCTGTAATCCTTTTCCCATATTTTCATTCATACTAAGGTTGATTTCTTCTATTTTAGAGCATTTTTGAAGCAATTTTGCAATAATTGTTGATTGATTATTGTCCAAATCGCAAGAACCAAAATCAATGACTTTTAAAGTATTTGACGATTTAACTAATCCATTGCAAATATATTCTAATTCATTTTCCGTTTGATTATTTCCAGAAAAATCTAATTTTTCAATTTTTGAACATTTCTGTAACATATTTCCAAAATGTTTTGCTTGTGAAATGGTTATGTTGCAAAAACTCAAATGACATTCTTTTAAAGTGGTCGATGATTGCACAAGTCCTTTACAAATCTCAGATAATCCATCTCTCATTTCGTCATTTCCGGTTAAATCAATTTTCTGTAATCTATTAAATTTTTTAATTATATTTCCAATTTTTCTAGATTCATCTTCACTTAGAAAACGATCTTCTAAATTAATCTCTGTCACAGTATATGATGATTCAGCAATTTTATTGCATAGTCTTGTAAATGTGTTGATAAAATCTCTGTTTTCTGCTATATTAACTGGAACAGTAGTTTGACCAGTAAGGTATTTTATTACAAATGGTGTTTCTGCTTCTGAATGACTCGAATTCGGTTTATCATTCAAAGGGCAGTCTTTTACACTGGTTACATCCAGTCTGTAATCAACTCTGATATCATTTAAGATTTCTACTGTTGGTTTTAGTTGTAAAAGCTTTTCTATTCTTTTCGATAATGGTTCGTCCAGATTTGTATGATCTAGGATTTTGTGCAGTTCATTTTGTCTTTCAATTGTAGCTATTTGAAATTCTCCTTTAATCTTTTCAAAATCCTCTTCAATCTTTCTGATAAAATCATTCTTTTTTTTATCTAATTTCTGTTCAATTTTCTCTCTGTTTATCTTCTCATCTTCTAAATAAGATTTTATTTTCTCATCTCTCTTAACTTTCTTCATTTGTGGCCAAATCTCGCAGTTGAAATGATTTTCTTCTATGCATGATGCGCATATATTTCCTACATTGTGGGTGTTACAATAGAGCAGACTGTCTTCCTTATTGACTTTACAGAGGCAGGATCCTTTTTTCTTTTGCTTTCTATCTACTTTTTCACTAGAAGCTACTTCTCGAAAAGAATTGGCAATAAGACTCCTTCTAAGGTTACTTACTTTACCTTGAGGTAGTTTGCATTTTTCTCTACACTTGGGGCAAGTAATTTGAGATTCTGCAACAGGCAAATCAATTAAACATTGTAGGCAATAAATATGCTGACAAAGCAGAACTCTTGGATCTTTTCCAATATATGACTCTAAGCATATGGCACATTCAACTGAATCTTCATCTAGATAATATCTTCTTGCAGCCATAATTATTTGTAGTAAAAGTAAAATGGCAGCGGTTAGCGCTAGTTATTGTTCGGCTGCTGTTGCCATGATGAAAGGGGTTGTGACTAAAATTATTTGGCAATAGATTAATTATAACCACAGATTATAGATAATATACTTAATTTTAATGTAGCTTAAATGAGTTACTTTTAGCTTAACATAAAATTATTCTTTGAATTTAAAATCAATTTTTAACTCATATGACGCCGATTGACAATGATTTATTAGAGATTTCAAAACAAAAGTACCAAACACTGTAAACAGAACATTATATACTAACGTTCCGTTCACATTACATGATATGAGTGAATGTGTGTTAGTGTGCGAGCGTCAGTGTCTGAGCGTCACTTAAGAAGGGAGTTTGACTTAGCCCAGAGTCGGGACAGTCCAACTTGACATTATGCCACATCCTTGATAACGACGTGGCATGAACATGGCATGAATGTGGCAATACAGATGAGCACAGTCAAACACCCAATTAAGTGACACTGTACAACTTTGGTTATATTTTACATGCTTGAACTCTATTATTTTATGCAACATATACATGTACATCTTAAAACCTACGCAAGAAAATGCTATAACATTGGCCAAACATAAGTCTGATTAGTCAGCTTGAAGGCTCATCTTTAATTACCAATAAAGGTTTGGCCAAGTTATAATTTAATTAACTTGCCTAGGGTGTGGCCAAGTTATAATTCAATTAACCTTCCTAAATGTTGAACCTTGTAACATCCTGTTACTAAAGATAAATATGAACTACACATTTCGGCAACTGTAAAGTGATGATTGGATGTCAGAGACAAACCTCAAAGTATATAAATCCTCATTATTCTCATTTGGCATGCAGCTTCCATCTGGACCCAAGGACCTGGGAAAATCATCTGGAAACAGCCTCCACTGGAACCAGCCCTCTACTCCTCAACATTGGAAGACAGTTTGGTAATTTGGCAACCTGCTATAGCAAACTATCTACTCTGCTATCGAACTCTCATATTGTTACTTGCTTAAGTATTATTATTGCGAATAAACCATTTTAATTTAAACATTTGTTTAAAGGTTCGAGTAGAACCAGTATTGTTATAACTTGCAAATGCATAGATTTTGCAAGCAAGAGCAGTACAAATTTGGCGCAGTCAACAGGATATTCTTTTGGTTTATTCAAAAGTTTTGAGAAAGTAAATATGGCAGAAGGAGGAATTGGAAATGCCACTGGGGCAGTTACAGACTCTAACCCTTCAACCCCAGCAACTCCAACAATTACAATTCAGCCAGCAGGAATGTCAGAAAGGCAACAAAGACTAATTGAAGACTATGATAGATTGGTGAGTGAAATGAAAAGAAATCGAATCACAATTCCAACAGATCATGGAGATGGAACACATCACCCAGCACAGAACCCAAATGTTGATATCACAACAGTAATTCAAGCATTAAGGGCTGCTTGGGACCGCCCTCAAAGAACTATTCCCAAGTTGTATGATGGAAGCAAGGAGTGTTCAAAATTCAAAGAAGACTTTAATCAGGCATGTTATGCTTATGGTTGGATAGAAGATGTTGTGAAAGCAAATCTTTTAGATTATTTAACTGGTCCTGCAAAGGATTTGGTGTTGGCTCTGGATGGAGAGCCTACTGTGGAGGAAATATGGAAAGCCCTCCATGATGAATTTGATCTGGATCCTTTGGAGTATCAAGAGAAATTGCTTAATTTAAAGCAAATGAATGGCGAAAGTGTGGTTCAGTTTGTTAATAGAGCAAAGAAATTGATAAAGAGGTTTTCTCCACCTAGACCAATGGAACCACAATTGCTTGCAACTATGAAAGAAATAAAACTGATGGAAGTTTTACAAAGAGGATTACAACAGGATATTCTACATTTAGTGTACACCTTACATCCTAAATGTCAAACATTGGCAGAACTATATGAGGCTGCTAAGCAAGCAGAAACTTCATTAAAACTAACTCAAAGAAAACTGATCACAATGGTGTCAAAATTGGAAACTCAACAAAGAAAAGAGACCAAAAAGACCCAGGTAATCAGAAAAGATGCTTCTACAGAAACCCCAAATTTTTGGAATAGAAAGCATGTACCTGACAACAAAAATGCTACTAAAGAAAAGTTTTCAAGCCAAAAAGTCCAAAAGTATGCACCAACTACAACAAATAGGTATTATAAGAAAAATCAACCAGCAAAGATGATACTGAAAGAGGAACCTAAGCTACAAAAATTAGAAACATTAGACAATGAAAGCATGTCAGAAAACAATGAAGTTCAAGATATTCTCTGTTTTTCAGATAGTGACGAATCCACTTGTCAGCTGTTACAAAGCAAACAATCTGAGCGAAATGCTTCAACATTTATTGGACAATTTGAAACTAATACTGGTTTTAAGTTTGATGCCTTGATAGACTCTGGTAGTGACAGATCATTCATTTCAAAAAAGGTATTAAGACAAGTTCAAGGAAAAGCATCCTTCCCAGAACAAACTGTGAAAAATGCTAGAGATGCTTCAGGAAATAGCATCGAGATATGTGGAGAAATCATTCTCAGACTTTATTTTAATGGAAAGATTATTAAACAACACTTTCTGATCAACAAAATCATTACACAACAATGTATTATTGGGTGTGACTTTCTACAACAAAATGGAGCTACCCTTGACTTTGGCAAGAGACAGATTATACTCCAGCCAGGTACAGAAAAGAATTACCCTGTTGGAACACAACACTTATCTTTCAAAGGATTTTACCCAGTTCCTCTTATTATGAAAAAGAATGAGAGTCAAATACATACCCTTCAGACAACAATTGAACAAGAAAATCCCGAGATGAAGGACAAAGTTACCCAAATTCTGGCGAAATATAAAGAAACTATTGCAGAAGACAGATTTGATATTGGCAATCCAGAGGTACCACCCTTGGAAATAACTCTTGAACCAGGTTCAACACCATATAGACAAAGGCCATATAGAATGCCTCCTCAAAAACAAGAAGAATGTAAGCAACAGATAGCTGAATTGGTAAAAAGCAAAGTTATTCAACCAAGCAAGAGCAATTGGGCTTCACCAATTGTTTTCGTAAGAAAGAAGGAAGGTAGTCTACGAATGTGTGTAGATTATAGAAAACTAAACAAAATGACAGTTAAAAACAAGTATCCACTGCCAAATCAAGATGATCTTTTTGACCATTTGGGAGGAGAAAATAAATTCTTTTCTACAATGGATTTGACAAGTGCATACCATCACATTAACATCAAGAAAGAAGATAGGTCTAAAACAGCATTTATTACACCTTTTGGCTTGTTTGAATTTATTAAGATGCCTTTTGGATTAACGAATGCCCCTCCTCATTTTAGTTATGTAATGAATTCATTTGTGCTAAAGGATGTAAAGCATTTGTGCCTAAACTACCTTGATGACATAATAATATTTACCAAGTCGCTGGACCAACATTGGGAAGCATTGGAGACCATTCTTCAACAGATTCAAAAGTACAATTTTAAGATTAAACTAAGTAAATGTGTGTTTTTGAAAGAACAAGTTCAATTCTTGGGACACATTGTATCAGAAAAGGGGATTGAAACAGATAAGTCCAAGACAGATAAATTATATAATTTACAGCCACCAGTGTTTGCAAATTCACTACTAAGCTTTGTTGCATTTTGTGGCTATTACAGAAAATTTATACAAGATTTTGCAAGAGTAGCTAAACCTCTGTATATGTTAATGAAACTACATGGGAAAAAGGATAAATTGCAATGGACTGAGGAAGCCAAGCAATCATTTTTCAAGTTGAGAGATGCAGTAGTTAACCCTCCTGTATTACAACTACCTGATTTTGCTAAAGATTTTCACTTAACAACAGATGCATCGAATGTAGCTGTAGGAGGAGTTCTTGAACAAGTTTATGTAGATGAGAATGGGAAGAAAACAATGAAAGCCATTGCCTACGCTTCAAAACAATTCAACAATAATCAAATGAAATATGCAGCCTATCAAAAGGAAGCATTTGGTGTTTACTGGCTTGTAAAGAAATTTTTACATTACCTTCAAGACAAGCCATTCTTTTTATATACTGACCATCAGAGTCTAGTACAAACATTTAAGCAAAACAAATTGAATGTCAGCACAGCAAAATGAGTCATGGCTTTAATGGATTTAAAATTTACAATTAACTATGTGACAGGACAAAAAAATAGAGCAGATGCATTAACAAGATTAGAAGAATATACACCCCCAAGGAAAGTAACATTTGAAGAGCTAATTCATGGAAGAATCAAAGAGGAGAATTCTCCCTCTATTTCAGTTAAAATGGAACAGTATGAACATACACCAGAGTTAACTTTTGTAGCTACCAGTGATAACAGTGAAGAGAAAATTGATTTGTCTTCTGTTGACTTACAGTCAGAGCAAGAAAAAGATGTGAATTTAAAATCAATTAAAGAATATTTAACACTGGATGGTCAGCTACCTATTCCTTATTTTGGAACTTTTACACCTTTCATAATGGAGATGTTTGTTCACAAGGAAATGATCTGGATTATCCTTGAAGAAAGAAACATTCTGGTTTTACCTGACCATTTGATGCTAACTCTGCTCCCTAAATTCCATAAAAATAAAATTCACAATCACCATGGACCCAGAATGACATTACAAATAATTACAAAGACCTTTTGGCACCCAAAATTAAAGATTATGATTGAGAATTCAATAAAGGATTGCACTTTGTGTGAACAAATGAATGGTAGGAGTAGAGCATACCCTTTGGTAGAAACCTTTCACCCTGCATCACCAATGGAGTTGGTGGCCATGGATATAATGGGACCCTTACCCATGGTTAAGTCATACAGATTCATACTTGTGATAGTGGATCATTTCAGTAGATACACAGTTTTATATGCACTCAAACAGCAAACCAGTAAAGAAATTGCAAATCTTCTTTTCAACAGATTTTTTCCCATTTTTGGAATTCCAAAACAAATGTTGACAGATCAAGGAAGAAACTTTGTTGGTAAAGCTTTTAAAGAGTTTATGAAGGTATTAGGTATTGAAAAAATCCAAACAACAGCTTATAGAAGCCAGAGCAATGGACTAGTTGAACAAAGAAATAGAGAAGTGAGGAAGGAAATCAATAAATTAGTGGTGGAAGAAAATCAGCATAACTGGGTTGCAAACCTACCCTTGATTCAAGCATTTTTGAATCAATCACCTGTAGGAAGTACAAGACTACCACCCCAGGAACTTCTTTTTGGCACCAGCACAAGAACACTGATTGATGTAACAATGCATACTACCTCTCCTGAAACAAACGTACTATTTGTATTCAATCACCAGCAGCAATTGGTACAGTTAAGAGCTACAGCCTTCTGTAAATCCATCATGGCAAAAGAAAAATATAGGGAAAGAAAGAATAGAAATCTCAATCTTCCAAAATATTTTGAGGTTGATGATGAAGTATTCTTAAGAAATGATGGTGCAAGAATTGCAATAACAAAAATCCCTTCTTTAAAATGGTTAGGCCCATACCAAATAACAAAAGTCAATCATCAAAAGTGGATATATGAAATACAAATGGATGATAATACATGCAAGTTGGTACATGGTAGCAGATTAAGACTAGCCAATGAATCTAATAAGTTGGAAACAGGGAAAGAAGCAACAACAATCTTTCACCTTGTGGAGAAGGAAATAACACACCTCCAGTATCTTTCTCAGGTAGAAGGAAGAAATGACTTCCAATTCCGTTTGAAGAATCAAAAAGGCCAAGAAGTCATTGCCTTGTGTGACACACGAGCATTGAGATCCTTTATTACTGAAAAAGAAATCAAGTTAATGGATGTTACAATTATGGATAAAGAAACAATTGGCTTACCAATTATAACTTCAGCTGATGGGAAAGCTTTAAAGCAAAAAGGAAGTGTAAAGCTGAATATCCAATTTGCTGGAGAAAGTATCAAACAAGAATTTATTGTTATGGAAAATCTAGACATAGCAATAATACTTGGTTTTGATTTCCTACGAACTGTGGGAGCAAACCTCAATTTTGAAGCTAAACAGTGTTCTCTCAAATTTGATAGAAGGAAAGGGAACCTGGCTGAAAGAATAAGGCAACCTCAACTAAACAAAGTCACTATAGCCATGATGGGACAGCATGACTCTTCATCAGAAAGCTCAGATAGTGATGACTCAGAGATGGAAGTTACTAATTCTGATACTGGTTATGACACAAGCAATACTTTCGAAACAGACAGTAATTACAGTCTCAATGAACCTTCAAGCTCATCTGAAAGTGATGACACAGAAACAAATAATGAACTGGATCAAAATACAGATTCAGAGGCAAACATTATCTCTGATAGAGAAGATGAAATACCTAGTTCAGACAATGAGTCAATAATTATTGAAAGTGAAATTATTGATATAACCCATTCGGATAATGAGTCAACAATTATTGAAGGTGAAATTATTGACATAACTCATTCAGATAATGAGTCCCTCATAGTGGTAGATTCATCCCAAGATGAGAAAGAAAATACAAGTGACACAGACAATGAGTCAGTCATATTTTTAGATGAGACTAAAATCATCTCTGAACAATTAGATTCCCAACAAGAAGTGGAACCACAATATATAGAGTTAGAAGATGGAATAACTATCAGAGTGGAACAATGAATTTAGAATGAATTTAATTTTTAAAATAATGTTAATGTATTAAAGCAACGTCAGAGTTTTGTCAATAGAATATGTATTGAGTAAATTAGTTCTAATCTAATAGTATTGTTTATTATACATTTAAAGATTGGAGACTGACATGTTTTGGAAATGCATTTCATTTTATTGATTTACCAAAGCATGGGTTGATAACTTAATTTTCATAGAATATATTAATTTTAAACTTTTGAATTTTTAAAATATGGTAATTTCACAAATCTTCATTGTTTGAAATTGATCATAGCCAACAATATAAACTGCTTGACAAACAGAATTACAAAGACAACTGTAATTACAAAATGTACTGTTCTGAGCAGTTAGTGAACAACTGACAAAGTTGCCATTAAATTCAGCAGTTACTTGATAATCAATTGGTGTGTAAACATGAATTCCTTTATTTTCAAAAGTTTGTTTATCATTAATACAAAACAGTTGTTGGCCAAAGATTTCAACTTTAAAGTTACTCTCAACTTTATTTGATGTTGGCCATGGAAATCTAACTTTGAATAATTGTTTTTTAAAAATATGACAAGTGTCTTGTTGCTTATCAAATAGAATATGATTATATTGAAATGTTATTAATCCAGTTGAGTCATCTTTTATCATATTACCAACAAAACACACAGTTTTTTCATAATCATCTTTCATATCTTGTAACGTTTGTGAAGTCTGTTTTGTTTTTAGTTATTTATACTTTTTTTACTAATGTTTAGTCTATTTTTTCACTTACCTTTAGTCTTATGTTATTTTGTCTGTATACTAGAGTTTTCCCATCAGCTATTGCTGTTGCAATAGCTGTTTCTTTCTCGTGAAATTCATAAGTATTTTGATGTCCTCCATTTAATCCACCAATGAAACATGTTAGCCTATTATCTCTTAAACGTATATGTAGAAATACTTGACTATTGCTCTCAGGCAACATGCATTTGTGTTTTAAAAAACAGCTGTTGTTCACAGAAATTGTAGTTGCTATACAACTAGGTTCTGTTGAACACGAATCTGTACAATGTGTTGGTGACTGATGGCTTACATTTAAAATGTCATTTGATGCACAATCATGAGCTTCTATGAGCATAAAACCAGATCTTTGAAAACGATTGAGGAAGCATCCATATCCAGAATCATAACAATGAAACCCAGAATTACAATTTGATACCATAATTGATGAATCTCGAAAAAACAGATTGTTTATTTTTTCAATGTTTTAATTTATTAAATGATTGACTTTTTACCTCCAATTCTAATACGAGAATTTTCTGGAATATCACAAGGATTATCATAGAAACAAAATGATAGTTGTTGTAATAAACTTGTTAAAGTTATTATAATTAGATTATTCATTATCAGTAACAAGAAAATATACACTAATATTTGCAAAAATATAAGAAAGATTTCAAAAGTTTTACCAATTTATTATAAAAAATATAATTGATTTTCTTTTTCAATGATTTATTCATAACTTGACATTTAATTGAATTTGAATGAGTTTCTATTCTTATTAATAATAAATTATTATTGCTTTTTCTTTTTGAAAATATTAATAATTCATAAAAAAATTGACAGTTGTTGAAAAATTAGACTATTAGTTAAAAAATATTAATTATTTCTTTTTTTCACTAATCTTAATTCATTCCTGGAAATCCTAAAAAAAGATAATCATTTTTATTGAGTTTCTGTATCACATGACTGACAGCATTTTTGATATTTTAATAATTCTATTTATAAAAATATACAATAGGGATTGCTTTTGTAAATATGTAAATTGTCTTTTAAAATTTTTCATAGGCCTATAAGATTTTTAAATGAAATGTTTTTTAATTATACCATTGAAATTAATAATCTGAATGATTTTTGACTTATTATTTCTTAATGCTGCTATAAATGATTTCCTATTCAAAATGATAATTTTTTATTATTTGTCAAAAGATTTGAATTAGAAGATTTCTTTTTTAATGAGAATCTTTAAATTATATTTTTAAACTTTATAATTGATCTTTTTGACAGAAAAGATTATAAAACATAGTGCATAGTTGAATGTTAATTTCCTTTTCTTCTTTTTTACAATCACCAAAATAATGACTTATTTACAAAGAAAGATTGTACTGTTCTTTCTATTAACTAATAGACTGGAATATATTAATTCAAACAATAGTATTGACTTATGTGAACAGCTTTCTAAAAAGTGTCTAAAAGAAATTAAAGTGCATAGTTGCATTCTGTTTTTTTTTACATTTATCTATGAAAAATAGAATCTTTATCTACAAATGAAACACCTGCTCAAATGTCTGTCAAAAAAATCATTAACAAACCACTTTAAAGCCTTATTAGAGCCACAATTTGATTGGTTATATACTGATATCAATCTATGGAAACGCAAAGCCTTCTAAAGATCAGTCTGTAGCAGTCTACCAAGGGATTATTCTCATACTGAACTGAATGGGAATGGGAAAACTCACGTCTGAGGAAAGTCATTCCCTTCTTCACAAAAGGAACTATCATTTTTAAAAGAAATAGTAAACAAGAAATATAATATATTTGATGTAAAATGAACAATTTTTTTAGTTATATTAGCAAAATAGAACTTATTTATTTGGGGAAACTGGTAAATATTAAGCTTTGTATTAGTAGGTGTAATTGGTGACAAAGAAAGAAGTTCCTCACTTCCTGTTTACATCATTTGAAAGTGCATAGGTAAAAATTAATTTTTTTTGTATTTCTTGCAAAATTGGTCAGACTTTGAAAGACAAAATATTTGTGAGTATAGGGTTAATGTTTAAAAATATTGATTTATTTCAGGGTTAGCATGTTCTCCCCGTTTTTATCTTACAGCTAAAAAAAATTACAAAATATGGTTATTGATAAATTTTAATTAATGTCTTAAGTATGTCTATTTAGCTTCAAATTCCCCATTATTGTCAATGCATGTTTGCCACCTGGCGGGAAGCATATCAATTCCTTTGGCAAAGTATTCAGGTGGCTGGATGAGGCAGCATTACCTTTCCAGTTGTTTCAAGACATTGGCTTGTTTGTGGGTTTGAGTATACAATTCCTATATAGTTACACATATAATAGGTTGGAATGATAAATAATGTAATGTGATGATTTTACCTAAACCCTAGGCCAGTAAATTATAATAATAAAAGTTCACAACATCAATAAAAATGAAAAGAAAAACAGCTACAATTTCCACTTCTTTAGTTCGTAACAAAAACAGAAACTGTTCTGCAAAGGAACGAATTTCAGAATTGGAAAAGTGAAACAATCATTCACCATTGAAAAATGCAGAAGAGCACATTTTTATTCATCTTATTTGTGTTTCCCATTACCATTAGCTTCATTAAAAAATTTTGGGAAGTAAATGAATTTGGATTCATTAATAAATCGTTTAATTTCAAGAATTAAATTATTGTTATCTTTGATTTCTTCTAATTCTATGTTTCTGGACCAAACAACAACTGAATGTATAATTTTTGGGCTTTTGAGTAAAATTCTATAGAATCAAGTGTCATCAGGAGTCTATTTCCTATTAAAGTATTTCTATAGTTGCACCATGCTAATTCCTATGCATTAGAAGTCTTTCTAATGTAACCTTATATCTAAAGTCTAAATATTGATATATCATTATATCTAGTTACAGAAATGTTAAGTTTTTTGTTCTATTTTTACTTTAATTATGATTCTTTAACATTTTTTTTTATTGTCAGGACGACATTTTGTGTTAAATAAAAAAGAAAATTTTATTAATTATGTGTGTAATTTTCATAAAAATTCATCATTTTTAATCAATATGGATACTAAACACCTATTGAGTACTTTGAAATATTTAAAAAAATTAATAGTTACTTATCTACTTATCAAGAAAATATTATTTTTTTGAGCTGTAACAGTGACTTACCACCGGTACTGTATACATCAATTTCACACAATTGTATTGTGTTCTCTCACCTACCTTGAATAAAAATTAGAAATTTTTCTTGAATGAAATTCACATTCAAAATTAGGTTGATCAATTTCATTGTACATTCTAATGTTACCAGAGTCCAGTGGCTTGAGATAAAACACTGTACAACTTTGGTTATATTTTATGCAACTTATACATGTACATCTTAAAAACCTACACAAGAAAATGCTACTAACATTGGCCAAACACAGGTCTGATTAATCAGCTTGAAGGCTCATCATTAATTACCAGGTAAGGTTTGGTATAGTTATAATCAATTAACCCTGCTAAATCTTGAACCTTGTGGTATCCTATTACTAAAGAAGTCTTTCAATGGTAGCAGGTGAAGCTGTACCTGGGTGAAACCGTACCCATAAAATTAATAGATTTTTTTAATTTTATTTTTTAGAATTATAATAATGGAACCTACAAAAATAAAGACAATATTGAAATATAAAATGACAGCCATTTTATAAATGAAGAAACTGAAGTTAACTTTCACTTTGGAAAGAATTTACTTTGAAAGTTAAGCTATTTTTGATAATTATATTTGGGCAAAGATTATCATTTTAGATTTAACAGAGATAATTTCATGTGCATTGTAATCTAGATTAATGTTATATTCATATTTTGACTACATGTTTTTTAATTTTGTGAAAAAATCCAATTTATTTGAAAAATATATTTCAGCCATTCTGAATAATTGTAAGTATACCTTTCCAATACTGATTTAAAATCAAGATATTATTCTTCTTTTACAGATGTGTTCAATAATATTAACTATTATTTATTTACTAATTATAGGTAATATTTTCAGTCTGGTATAAGGAATTATTCATAAAACATGACAGTAAAATGTAAGAATTGTAAGCTTTTTGTATATGAAAGACAGAAGAAAAAGTCTTGAGTGCTTAACAATGAAATTATTCATCAGAAATGTGTCATAAGTATGATTCTATATTCAATATGGCTTTTATAAATATTCAGCTATTTCAATCAGATTTTAAGGTGTCAGTTTGTCTGGATTGTGAAAATAGCAGATTCCTTCTTCATATGAAGGAGATCAAGTTGTAGAAACTGGTGATGTGTATGAAAAATTACAAAATTCAACTAATCGTCAAAATGAAGATGGAGAAAGTCACCAAGTTTCAAATGAGTCAGAGTTTTGTGATGATAGCAATTTTGAAAACTGTCAGATGAATGGAAATGAAATGGAAGAGAATTTAAATGAGGATGTGATTATAGGTGGAAATGAAGGTATGGTGGATGAAAATGTGAATGACAATGGAATATGGAACAATGGCAATATTGAACACTTGCAAGAAATTATGCATGACAACTTTCAAATAATTAAAGGTAGAAGTCAAATGGGAAAAGATATTCTAATCAATGACGGATTTTCATTCAATATATCGCTCGTTTTGTTCGCATTTGCTACAATTTCCATACCGATTATTACTCATTCTAGAGACAAAGTGACAGATATCTTGATATAAAGTCAAAGACAAAATTTGCAATGCAATGCCCATTTTTGGCATCTTTTACTAATTCTACACAATATTATTTTTGCAGTATTCCAATTTTTCGGTCAACAAGAGATCCATGAAGCTTTTTCATCTCTTCCTTTCTCTTTCTGTTGAATTATTCTAAACTTTTCAAAAATGTGTCATAATGAGAAAATAAGTGAAAATTTTTCAAACATAAAAATTGTACTCTTGGACGGTAATATATTGACTGAGCATATGTGATGCATTGGCAAATTTCTCAAATAGTCTACTTTATCTCAGTCTGGAAGGCTGTAAGATAACTAGTGATGATATTTTGTTGTTGAACAGGTGTCAGCTAACAGCCCAGACCTCAATATTATTGAGCCAATATGAAGAATATGCATAAAAGAGTACTGTATATGTGGATTTATAACATTCAACCAGATTACAATGCAATTAACCTTCCTAAAGGTTAAACTTTTTGACATACTGTTACTAAACATAAACATGAACTAAACACTTTAACAACTGCAAAGTAATAATTGGATGTTAGAAAGAAATCTCATGATGTATAAGTCTTCACTGTTTCACTCCAATCATCCAATCACCTGGGAAGATTATCTGGGAACAACCTGAGGTGGAACAAGCCTTCCACTCTTCAATGTTGGAGGCTAGTTTGGTAAATTGGTAACATGCTATTCAACTCTCATATTGTTGCTTGCTTAAGTATTTTATTTTGGAATAAACCACTTAAATTTAAACACTTTGTTGAAAGTTTCAAGTAGAAATAGTAGTCTGGTAACTAAGAGAAAAGATCAAAAAAATATATATTTTTTGAGATGTAACAATGACTAACGACCGGTACTGTAGTACTACACAATGTGAAGGTAACCTTAACTAAAAGTTGACTGAACAGCAATTTTTATTTTTCATAAATTAAATTTTCTTCTCTTATCAAGTAG